TGCAACATAGCCCAGTTCTGCAATTATGTATTTTCTATTTTAATTTTCCTAGGTTCTCTGCTGTTTAAAGAGTACGCCGGTGGTAAGTGTATTGATACTAACATTTACATCACCTTTTTATTTTGCTAGATTATTTACTGGGGAACCTATTACATACAGGCCAGTGTTTTAAGGGCTTTGCGTGTAATATATATGTATATGTATATATACACACACGTACATGTATGTATATGTATATAGATACTTTTTTTGAGACACAGTCTCGTTTTGTTGCTCAGGCTGGATTGCAGTGGTTTGATCTTGGCTCACTGCAACCTCTGCCTCCCAAGTTCAAGCCATTCTCCTGCCTCTGCCTCCCAAGTAGCTGGGATAACAGGCACCCACCACCATCCCCAGCTAATTTTTATATTCTTAGTAGAGAAAGGTTTTCACCAGGTTGGCCAAGCTGGTCTTGGACTCCTGACCTCAAGTGATCCACCAGCTTTGGCCTCCCAAAGTTCTGGGATTACATGCATGAGCCACTGTGCCAAGCCCACGTTGTATTTCTTAATCTTCACAACAAGGTTGATTCCCATCTTAGGGTGAGGAAAATGAAGGAAAAATAGTTAATTAATATGCCCGAGGTCATGCAGTTAGTAAGTGGCTACCTGATATTTGAACTCAGATGGTCTTAGAAGTTCTAACATTGTTTTGGCACTTCCGTATTTCTTATCTTGTTTGGAATTATTGCTTCTTTTTACAAACAAGAAACTGAGGCTCAGAAAGGCTAAATGAATTTCCTTAGTCGTTCACTGACAGTAAACTAGAGAACCAGGACTCTTGCTCCATAGTGGAACGGTTACGAGGGTAAACATAACCTTTAGATAACTCCCATTTAACAAGAAATACAGGGGCTAGAACATAAGTTAAACAACGACCCAGAAGGTGAACATTCTATAGAGACAATTTCTCTGTTCTCTTCAACAAATCAATGCTTTTTCTACCATAAGAGTCTTATAAGACATATAAAGGAAACTGTGTACCTCAGCTGGATCTTGGTGTGAGTAAATCAGTATTATGATTATGTAAGAAAAAGTATTTAATTTTTAGAGATGGGAAGTGACCATTAGAGTTTAAATGTCATGATGTCTCTAGCTGTAACATAATCTAGTAAAATAAAAGGATAGTGTTAGGGTAGCCAAACCCAGGTTTAGCAACTCACACCTCAAAAGCCAAACATGAGAAGTGAGAGTTGGTGGGACGAAAAGCAGATTCCTTCAGAGAGTGAGCCAGCAAACTGAGAATATGGCAGAATAGCATCCCAAAGTTAGTGCAAGATTTGGGCTCTTTATGTTAAAGGCATGGGAACCAGAAGGGAGTTAGAATCAAGAGGTGAGACCATTCACTGCAGACATCTGAGCACCATCATGGGTCAAAGAAGGTTGGGAATGTCTTTGTCCTGATGTTCCAATGAGCCTTGATTTGTTGGAGAAAACAGATAAACCGTCTGTATAGAATGTCGATTTCCTGGGCTGTTTATATGTGTTATTGTTTGACTTATGTTCCAGCACCTGTGTTTCCTTTCAAATGGAAGTTATCTAAAGATTATATTTATTCTCCAGGTCACAACGCTCCTAGAAATCTTTAACAACACATAGTTGTTTACATACCGTACTTTCCCTTTAATCCCAGAGTTAGTTTTCAAAATTACAGGACTACTGTTTTTACATATTATCTCTCTGCTCTAAAATTAACCTAGCCGCTATACATGAAAGGGTAAAGGCCTCCTTGAACAAAAATAGAGTTATTTTTTTTTAGTTCTTTTACTGTTTCACTGTTATATACGTTTATTAAAAAAATGAACAGAGGTTCATTATACCATTCTCTCTTTTTCCTGTAATAAATTGTTCATACTAAAAAAGACTTGAAAGTATGTTCTCTCAGTTTTATGACCTTCAGGAAAAGTTTAAGCTCCCTGGGTGTTCAAGCTCTTTATCAGTAAAATGAGACGAATAATACCTATCTCATAGGGTTGTAAGAATTACATGAAGTAGTTGATGAAAAGCATTTAGAACAGGGCATGGTATACCATGTCCCTACTCCATTCATTTATTGAATGTATTTTTAGAAATGTAACTTTTTCAAGGGCTTCGCATGTGTCAGACATTGTTTTAGATATTGAGGGTACTAAGGACAGACATGGCTGCTGTCCTCAATGGTATTTATCTTTCTAGTGGTATTTATTACTATTGAAGATGTCACTGTTTTATTTAACGTTTGTTTACCCCCTTTTAGCGAGACATCAGAGGAAAGATAGAAGGAAAATACCTCTTTAAACAAAAAACTCTAAAGCAGCAACTAAGGTTTCTGACTATCATCCTGGGCAAACTTTCCAGATTTCTTTTTAAGATCTCATTCCAAATTTCTTTCATGAGCTCTTTCCTCACCACTTCCCTGTAATTTTATCTTCCCTTGCCATCTTCATCTTAAACGGAGACCAGATTTTAACATCAATGTAACTAGAAGACCTTTTTGAAATTTCCAATTGAAAATTATTCTATAAGGTATTTATACCTCCATTGAATTCCATCTCTGCCACGTAGCTCTGCCTTTGGCAGTTTGTCTACCTTCTCTGAGATATACTTTCTGTCAGCAAAGTGTAGATATACCCAATTTTCCTGGTATCTATGAGAACTTGCAACTAGAGATAAGTTTCATAAAGTGTTTATTATAATTTTCATAAAGTACCTGACACACAGTGCTCTGGAAAAGAGAGCTTTTATTGTTGGGGTGATTATAGTTGGTGAATAAACTATGTTTGCAAAGATAACATCTCCAGGTAGAGCAAAGCTGGAGCTCAAGGGGAAAGGTGGGACATAGGACATCAGCTAATCTTTTCCTCTGTACAATTAATGACAGCTTTGAAGATACTACTATAACTTGAAAGTTTGAAGTTAGTGTTTCAGCTGAACTATCCATTCATCTTCCAGCCATCATGAGCTGTAAGAAGCAGAGGTCACAGAATAACTCGGTCAATGAAAAAAGGAATGTGAAAATCGAGCACTATTTTTCTCCGGTATGTGTATAAATTCTACTTGTGTAATATAGTCATCTCTTGGTACCTATGTGGAATTTGTTACAAGACATCCCTTGGATACCAAAATCCATGAATGCTTAAGTCCTTTATATAACATGGCATATTATTGACATAACGTATCATATGCTCCCGTATACTTTAAATCATCTTTAGATTATTTATATTACCTAATACAAGGTAATTGCTAAGTAAAATGTTGATATACTGTGTTGCTTAGGAAATAATGACCAGAAAAAGTCTATATACATGCTCAGTTCAGGCAAATTTCCTGAAACTTTTCAATTAAAAATATCCCTGAATATATTCCATCTGCGGTTGGTTGAACCCATAGATACAGAACCCACGGATACTGAAGCCTGACTGTTTACCAATATTAGACTTAGCTATCCTTGACATTGGATTTTATAGTTCTTCTTGCCAAGAAATTACCTTGTGTGTTGGGAATATTAAATAAGTTAAAATCATTTTTTACTGATTTTATCTTTTCTATTTTGGGGGTAGCATGGAGAAGGGAGTTGTAATGCGTATCTTGGCTATATCAAAGCAGTCTTTAATAAAAAACTATTGTAATATTCCTTGAAAAACAACCAAAAAATTCAATACAATATGTTACAGTAAACTATGTAATAAACCAAAATTAATACTATTTCATAGCATGAAAACATACATCATTCCAAATTGAATATGGCTGATCTATTCAATCGTTATTATAACCTACATTTGAATACAGTTTATAAAACAATGTTTTATGTATTTGCTCTTACCATAGCCTTGTTAGGCAGTTAGGAAGGATTCTGACACATCTTCAATTTGTTTATTGGAGGAGACAGGGAAAGTGAGTCGTTGCTTGAGGCAGGAATGAAGTGAGACTTGGGGTTAAGTTTAATGACATGTAGTTGGGCCTTTTTCTACTAATTGGGCTCTGTTATCATATCAAACCATTGTATCTTTCCCTGTGTCTAAAATGCTCCTTGAATTTATCAAGAAAAAAGGTAGAGGAATAGTAAGCATTTGAGTGTGAAGCTTATCAATTTCTCAACTTGTTTTCTCTTGTCCTGATTCTGGAAAACTAGAATATCCAAGTATCTAGAAAGTCTAAGGCAAACTTGGTTATGTTTTTCTCTGCCCTACTCCATCACAGAGCTAATTACTATATTCTATTCCTCTTCCCCTTTCAGAAGGGTCTACATCTGCCCAAGAATCATTTTAATAAATAGGAAGTTTATTATAGTATTCCAATAGGGTACATGACAAAGATGTTTCTGATAGCATTAGGCTGAAGGGATGCTCTATGAGAGTTTATATGTATGCCCAGGGTAAACCTGTATTACCTTAAGTTCCATTTATTCATTTATTTTTGATCTGGAGTATTGGTATAAAGAAAGATAACAAATGTAAATATATTATTTGTTAGTCATTGTGCTAGGTATTGTCATACAATGATGCTACACTTAATCTTTACAGTATTTCTGGCATTGCTATTCCCATTAGTCGTAAGGGGCATGGCTGGCATATGAACCTACATCTGCTGGTACCCATGCCATGATGAATATGACTTGGGGAAAATGTGTCTTTTAGACATAGGAAACAGATACTCTAATTTTTCTTCAAGTTTCTACTATTTGATTAGTCCTCTTTATTTAATTCCTCTCCTCAACGCCACCCGTTTCTTACAATAATGCCCTACAAAAATGGCAATCATAAATACAAAGTTTACAAAAAAGAATATATACACTAGTCCAATGGAAAAAAATAATTGCACTAGAAATTGTAATTTTGATACTCACTATATTTATTGGTTATTATGTGGCCCTAGAAAAGACGCCTACAAAAAAACTTCCTGTGCCTTAGTTTCTCCATCAAAAGGACAGAACAGTCATCTTTGTTCCTCTTTATTTTATAAAATTTTGGGATTAGTTGATGTCCTAGAGAAAATAATTTGAGTTTTCATGATATATGCTGGGTGAATAAAAGTATTTATTACTACAAATAACTATATTATAACCAAATGATTAGTTAAATAATCATGATTTTGTTTTATATGTAATTCTTATAATAAATTATTACAGCTTATTGCCGAATTCAGTATTTCAAGAACAAATTTTTGGCTGTAATTCATCATTGTCCTCAGAAAATATGAAAATTACGTAGCTGAAGATATAAAAGAAGACCTGAAATAACACTATTTTGAATACTAGTGGACTTTTTTTTTTTTTTGAGTTGGAGTTTTGCTTTTGTTGCCCATCCTGGAGTGCAATGGGGCGATCTCGGCTCACTGCAACCTCTACCTCCCAGGTTCAAGTGATTCTCCAGCCTTAGCCTCCCGAGTAGCTGGGATTACAGGCATGTACAACCACAGCCAGCTAATTTTTGTATTTTTAGTAGAGATAGGGTTTCACCATGTTGGTTAGACTGCTCTTGAACTCCTGACCCTCAGGTGATCCACGTGCCTCAGCCTCCAAAAGTGCTGGGATTGCAGGCATGAGCCACCATGCCCAGTCACTAGTGGACATTTAAGAACCTCTGTTTTTGATGCACCTCGGAAAAAATTGTTTCTTCCCTCATATTTTATAGAAAAATAGTATAGTAGTATCAAGAGTTTATCTGACAGATGTTATAGGAAGCTCAGCTTTCATTTTGGGTCCCAAGTCAAACACTGATTTAATTCTATTCACTGGCCATTTTAGATAGGTTCTGAGTTTCTCATAGGACTTTTGTGAATTTCATAACTGAAAAGAGAACCAAAAGACTAGGGTTGCATTCAGAGTTTTAAAGTATCTAACATTTATTTTTAGGCCTTTAAGGAGCAAAATAATAATCCGAGTACTTCTCAGATGAGAATGGTGTCTAGACATGGCCGAAGAAACACAAGTAATACCCAGGCTCAAAAATTCCATTCACCTGAGAAATATCAAGAACACAAGACCATGCCCCAAAATAAGATAATACATGTTACCCTGGATGTAAACCACAGGAAAAACCAAAAAATGAAACATAGGCTCACACATAATGAGAATGGTAGTTTATATATGGCTCTCAACACTCTCCAGGCTGTCAGAAAAGAGATAGAAACTCATGAAGGCCAAGAAATGCTTGTGCGTGGTGCAGAAGGAATCGAAGGGTACATAAACCTTGGAATGCCCCTCACTTGTTTTCCTGAAAGATGCCATGTGGTCATTACATTTTCCCAAAGTAAAAGTAAGCAGAAAAAAGATAACCAAGTATTTGGCCGGCATGACAAGACATCAACTGACTGTGTCAAATTCTACATTCATGCAATTGGAATTGGGAAGTATAAAAGAAAAATTGTTAAATGTGGGAAGCTTCACAAAAAGGGGTACAAACTCTGTGTCTATGCTTTCAAAGGAGAAACCATCAAGGATGCTCTGTGCAAGGATGGCAGATTTTGTTCCTTTCTGGAGAATGATGATTGGAAACTCATTGAAAACCATGACTCCGTTTTAGAAAACACCCAGCCAGTTGATGAATTGGAAGGCAAACTCTTCCAGGTTGAGGTTGAGAAAAAAATGGGCCCCAAAGAAGCAGGTCTTCAGAATCCTGAGTCAGAGAAAAGAAACACCTGTGTGTTGAGAGAACAAACCATGTCTCAGTACCCCAGTTTGAAAAGAGAAAGTGAAAAAATCAGGGAAAACTTCAACGAAAAAATGAAAGGAAAAAATGGGAAAACATTATTTAAATTGCATAGAACAAACTTTGGGAAAGTAACAAAAAACTCTTACTCTGTTAAAGTACTGAAACTTCTTGCACATCTCAGTGACTCAGTTGGGCACTTATTCTGGGACGGTGCAACTGCAGGTTGTGCCACCTGCTTTGCTTTTAAAGGACTGTTCATTTTAACTTGTCAGCATGTAATAAATCTCATTGTGGGAAAAGGAATAGAGCCAAGTAAGTGGGCAGACATAATCGGTCAACGTGTAAGGGTGACATTTCATTATGAAGAGCCACAAGAAAAGGAAATGAACTGCTTTTCCGTCGAACCTTGGTATGAGATATATAATGAAGAGCTTGACTATGTTGTCCTGAAGCTGAAGGAAAATGGACAACAGGTACCTATGGAACTATACAATGGAATTGCTCCTGTGCCACTTAGTGGGTTAATACATATTATTGGCCATCCAAATGGAGAAAAAAAACAAACTGATGCTTGTGTTGTGATCCCTCAGGATCAGCAAGCAAAGAAATATCAGGAACGTACTCAAGCTAAAGAAGCAGAAAGTCCAGAGTATATTCATATGCACACTCAAAGAAGTTTCCCGGATATAGTTCCCAACCCTTACGTGATTACCTATGACACTGAGTTTTTCTTCGGGGCTTCTGGTTCCCCAGTGTTTGATTCAAAAGGTTCATTGGTGGCCATGCATGCTGCTGGCTTTGCTTATGAGTACCAAAATGAGATTCGTAGTATCATTGAGTTTGGCTCTACTATGGAATCCATCGTCTATGATATTAAGCAAAGACATAAACCATGGTATGAAGAAGTATTTGTAAGCCATCAGGATATAGAAATGATGAGTGATGAGGACTTATGAGAATTCGGTCTATTAGATTTAAAGGAATGGCTGATGGAGTTATTATTTCATAGGCATTGATGAGAGTTTTCTAAATTCCAAAATGATCAGTTTTATCAATAAAAATACTATTAACCATTTCCTATCTGTCAGGCACCTTTCTAAGCACATGAAGAAATTAGTCCTAACAACACTGAGATGGACTATAACCTGCAATATTTTAAAGTCAAGCGAAGTGAAGAATAACAAGATTAAATAATAATCAGTTTCATGACACTGAAAGTAATGTAATCACTATTTTTTTCATGTTTTATATTTTTGTGTAAATTCATTTGCTACAGTGCAGGAATCAAAATTTGTTCATCTCATTATTCTCTGCATCTGACATAAGGAAAGCAAGTGCTCAGAAAAATGTGCAGGTCACTCAGTAGCAAAAGTTGGGGCTGTCATTAATGCTAACTTAGGAGCTAAATGCTTGATTAGAAATGATCTCAGAATCTTTTAGAATTTCCAAAATCCTCAGGTCACTGAAACTGTCAGAATACATGGGTCCTGAAATTCAGAAGACAATAGTCATTCTTCCCATGTTTATAGGCTATTAAGGCAAGGGATATCTTAAACATCATATTACTTTATTTAGATTTCTTCTATTCCAATTATTATGTATTTCTCATTGTTTTACTTCTTCATAGTATTGTGAAGACTATATAGATGATTCAGCCAAGACTGCAAATCTCTCTCATCTGGAATTCCACTGGACCCAATCTGTTTTCCATTGCCAGTGCCATGCTACTAAAGCCATACAGTATCAAGCACCCTCCGTCTAGGTCCAGGGAATATCACAGAAGAGGTGGGCATTTAAGATTATAAGGGCTGGTTTCAAGGCATACAGTCCAGGAAAACAGCCTGTTGCATTGCAAGGGTGATGTCATCTTGAAGTGCAGCTGCCATGATGACTGCTGTTTGACTCCTGCATACCAAGATATTCTGCAACAATGTCTTTAAACAATGCTGGTAGTACAGATAACCCCTCATAAAGATGCTTAGCTAACCTCCCCAGTGGTCAGGTGTTTCACAATAAAGTCTGAGATACGACCAGAGCTACACATTTTGCCAAAAAGGCTTGCTATGTAAAGGGTATATTCGGGAGGGTGAGTGCTGCCATTTAGTGCTGCTGGAAACATTGCTTCTGTTTGTAAGTTCCTATTAAATGTTTCTTTCTGAGAAACTGTATTTGTCAGCCTCTTTCTTTGGCCTCTCGGCTTCTTTGGCCTTTGGCGGTAGGTTTGCACAGACTTGCTCACCATGGAACACTTGGAGATTTTTATTGAAAAATGGTATTAGAAACCAATATCTAGGTACTAGGTATGCTCATTGCTACTGGGGTGTTGTTTTTTTAGCCCCCTGAGCTGACAGGGCAAAGAAATATATGTGTGTATATTTACTCATATGTGTATATGTACACATATGTGTAAATGCCTTTCTTATCTGTAAATCCCAACTCCAAACACTGAGAAGCATGATGCCTGCCATTTCTCACACATTCACTTAATTGCTTAATCCACATATACATATATTGCAGTGTCAGAATTGTTAACTTCTACCTCAATGGGAAATAACTTTATCAACTAAAATGCAGTGCCATGTGCAATTTCTGTGCTTGTAGTCTTACATACTCCATTCATTCCCAAAGTTATTTCAGTCACCATCTTGTTTCTCACCTCCTTCAGTGAGGTCATTTTACATGCTTATAATACAGTTATATATACATATAATAGTTAGATTCCCTTGTCACAGGGTGAATTCTTTCCTTTGACCCTTTGACCTCCTAAATGATACTTTAATGTGTAGACGTTGATTCACTCTGTGCTGTAAAGTTCTGAGTTTTATCATACAGAATAATTACATCACCTTAGAAATCTGTGCTTTACCTATGTAACCTTCCCCTCTCCCCTGAACTCCAGTAAAAAAAGAAATCACTGATCTTTTTACTGTCTTAATATTGCTTTTGCATCTTCTAGAATGCTATATAATCAAATTCTGTTTATATATTTAGTACACTTTCCACATTTTTTTGTTGATGGTGGTGATTTTTCTGCTTAAATGGCCCCCATGCATAAAACTTAAGTTCAGTCCAGTGTTGCCAAGAAAAAGGTGGCTGTGGTATGCCTTACAAAGGAAATGTTTGTGTTAGATAAGTTAGTTAAGCTTTTGAGACGTGAGTTATAGCATATTTGACTGTGAGTTTAATATTATGGAATCAACAATACATATTAATAAGATGTCTTTTCAATAGAAATACACATAAAGCAGTTTTTTTTCTTACTTTTGTTGAAATTTTTTTGCCCGGAGGTTATTGGGATTTCACCCTTTTTTTCTTCTTACGGGCATTGTTTCGTTTTTTTTGGATCTGTATAGACCTTAACTACCACAAGTAATGAGATTTGACTGTATCCTTTCAAATATGGCTTCAAGTCTAATGCCTGTCTAATCATCACAGAGACTTAAACTTTTGTGGCTTTACTGTTTATTAAACAATTTTTGCCTTTTTTTTTTATTCCTTTTTTTTTGCGGCGGTTTTTTTTTTCCTTTTTTCTTTTTTGGGAGGGAGTTTTCGTTGATTTTTTGCGAAATTTGTTGTTCCTTTGGAAGGCTTGGGCTTTTTTTGTTGAATTTTGGTTGTTTTTTTTTTTTCTTACTTGGGTTGTTTCTTCGGACCCGGCCCCCCTTTTGGCCTTTCTTGCTTTTAAGGCCCCCCCTTTTTTGCCCCTTTAGGAATTTTTTTAGGCTTTTCGGATTTTGGCAATTCCTTTTTTTTGTTTTTTTTTTTTCTTGGTTTTAAGGCTTTTTAAGGTTTTTGGTTGGAAATTTCACTTTGGGCTTGGTTTTTTTCCCCTTCCTTCTTCCATTTCCCGTTTGTGGGGGGATTCCGTTTTCCCTTTTTGTTCCGGTTTTTTTTCTGAATTGGGTTATTGTTTTGACCAGGTTTTTATTGGTTTTACTTTTGCTTGCCCTTAGTTGCGGGCCCTTCTTCCGCTTTTTTCCTTTTAATTTTGCTTTTTTTTGGCCAAGGTTGTTTTGCGGTTTTATTTAATTTAGGTTTCGGGGGACAGGTTCTTCTTGCCTTACTTGGTTGGGTTTTAATTCCGTTATTGGTTTTTTTTTTAGTTAAGGAGGAATCCCGGGGGGGGGCCCCGGAAGGAAGGCTTTTTTGAGGTTGGGGGCGGGGTTTTGGGGGTTCCTTTTCCACCCGGGGTTTGCCGGGGTTTGCCGGAGGCCCCCGGAGGTTGGGGGGGGGGGTTGGATTGGTTTCTCTTCAAACCTTCCGCAGGGACCCGGCCCGGTTACCTTTTTGTTTTCGGCTTTTGTTTTCCGGACTTTTGTTTTAGAGTTGGTTTTTTTTGTTTTTAGGCCCTCAGTTTGTTGTTATTTTTTTTTGGCTTTGTTGGTTTAAATTATTTTTTTTTTTCCCATTTTTGGGCGGCCGGTTTTTTCCACCTTGAGTTCAGTTTTTTTTCGGGGTTTTGTTTTTTCCAGAAGGTGCAGTGGGGGTGAGGGTGAGGGAATTAAGGGCCCCCCACTGACCTGCCTGTTAATGAGTCTCAGTGGCCAAAGGTATGATTGAAATAAGCTACCCAAATGATTCTGTGGTTGTTACTCATGTGACTCAGTCTCCTCTGGGCAGGAACAGGAAGGGATTTTCTCATGGCAATGTAGCGGCAAGCCCCACCGCCCAACAGAAAAGCAATGCTGTTGTGGTCACTGAGTAAAGAATCCCTGAAATTAAAATACATGGTGTCAGCAATAAGAACCTTGATATCTGATAGACAGCTTCAGGTGAACAAAAACATTTGAAATGTATCAGTTGAATCCAAACAAGCCATTCAAAACTAAAAGTGGATTTAGCCAATTTCTTTTCCTTTTGCCCCCTTTTAGCCCATCCCTTCCCTTTTGCCTCAACCTCAGCTGCTTTTGGAGAAAGATAATTAGAGATGCAACTGAGATCTCTCTGTCCTTAAATGGGATGAGGGCTATGCACACCTGTGTGCATATGCCAGGGAACTTCGGGGAGTGAAGGGCTCAAGCTTATGGCTGTGTTGGCTTCAGGTGCCCAAGTCACCATTCTACCCTGTCCTGTTAAAGAACAAGATGTTGGGCACAGGAATGGCCAAAGGCACCAAAAACTAAAGGATGGAGCTGAGGCAGTTGTGTGTAGGGGTAGAAAGGGATCTCTGGCCAAATCTCATCTTGAACTTTAGCTCCTATAATCCCCACATGTCCAGGGAGGGAACGAGCAGGAGGTAACTGAGTAATGGAGATGGGTTTTCCCCATGCGGTTTTTGTGACAGTGAATAAGTCTTACAATATATGACAGTTTTATAAAGGAAAGTTCCCCTGCACATGCTCCCTCTTGCCTGCTGCCATGTAAGAGGTGCCTGTGTACCTCCTTTACCTTCCACCATGATTATGAGGCCACCTAATCAATATAGAATTCTGAGTCCATTAAACAGCTTTTTCTTTATAAATTACCCATTCTTGGGTATTTCTTCATAGCAGTATGAAAATTGACTAATACAGTGAATTGGCATCACAGAGTGGGGTGCTTCTTTAAACGTACCTGAAAATGTGGAAGCAACTTTGGAACTGAGTAACAGGCAAAGGTTGAAAAAAGAGGGCTCAGAAGAAGACAGGAAACTGTGGGAAAGTTTGGAACTTCACAGAGACTTGTTGAATGGCTTTGCCCAAAATGCCGATAGTGATATGGCAGTGAATTCTAGACTAAGGTGGTCTCAGACGGAGATGAGGAACTTATTGGACACTTGGGCAAATGTCACTCTTGCTACACTTTAGCAGAGACTGGTGGCATTATGGCCCTGCCCTAAAGATCTGTGGAACTTTGAACTTGAGAAAGATGATTTAGGGTATCTGGTAGGAGAAATTTCTTGGCAGCAAAATATTCAAGATGTGGCTTGGGTACTCTTAAAAGCATTCAATTTTGGTCATTCACAGAGATATGGTTTGGAATTGGAACTTAGGTTTAAAAGGGAAGCAGAGCATAAAAGTTCAGAAAATTTGCAATCTGGTGATGTGATAGAAAATAAAACCTCATTTTCTGAAGATAAATTCAAGCCAGCCACAGGAATTCACATAAATAATAAGGAGGCAAATGCTAATCACCAAGACAATGGAGAAAATGTCTCCAGAGCATGGCAGAGGTCTTCATGGCACAGTCTCCCATCACAGGCCCAGAGTCCTAGAAGGAAACAATGGGTTTCATGGGCTGAACCCTGGGCCTTCCCGCTTTGTGCAGTCTTGGGGCTTGGTGCCCTGTGTCCCAGCTGTGGCTAAAGGGGGTCAAGTTATAGCTCAGACTGTTGATTCAGATGGTGCAAGCCCCAAACCTTGGTGGCTAACACATGCTATTGGGCCTGCAGGTGCATAGAAGCTAACAATTAAGGTTTGGGAACCACCATCTAGATTTCACAGAATGTACGGGATTCCTTGATGTCCAGGCAGATGTTTGCTGCAGGGATGGAGCCCTCATGGAGAACCTCTGCTAGGGAAGTACAGAAGGGAAATGCAGGGTGGCAGCCCCCACAGAAAGTGCCCCCTGAGACACTGCCTAGTGTAGCAGTGAGAAGACAGCCACCGTCCTCCAGATGCCAGAATGGTAAATCCATCAACATGCTCTTTGAAAAGTGGCAGACACTTCATGCCAGTCTGTGAAAGCAGCCAGGAGGGGAGCTGTACCCTGCAAAGCCATGGGGCAGAGCTGCCCAAGATCATGGGAAGCCACCTCTGGCATCAGTGTGACCTGGATATGAGACATGGAGTCAAAGCTCATTTTGGAGCTTTAACTTTTAACTGCCCCTCTGGATTTTGGACTTGCAAGGGGCCTGTAGCCCCTTCATTTTGGCCAATTTATCCCATTTGGAACGGGTGTATTTACCCAAAGCCTGTACCCCCATTGTATCTAGGGAGTCACTGACTTGTTCTTGATTTTCCAGGTTCATAGGTGGAAGGGACTTGCCTTGTCTTAGATGACACTTTGGATTTGGACTTTTGAGTTAACGCTGCAGTTATGTAAGACTTTGGGAGACTGTTGGAAAGGTGTGATTGTGTTTTGAATGGGAAGGACAGGAGATTTGGGAGGGGCCAGAGGTGGAATGATATGGTTTGGCAGTGTCCCTATGCAAATCTCATCTTGAATTGTAGCTCCCATAATCC